TATATATAGATCTATATGAATAGATATCTATATAGATATATATATATAGACGCAGAGGGGGATGGTTGGAGACTGGTGAATTAATGTAGATAACACAATAAAGAATTAAATGACCCCATAATTACAGGGCGCACAGTGCATTTCAGTCATTAATAAATCATTTCTCAAAACTGCCTTATTTAATGGGCCGCAGACATAAGGCCTTATTTACAATTTGAGCTCTAATATGACATAAAATTATTTAGGCTATAACTAAACATGTAATAAAGGAAGCAATTGACGGTGCAGGCAGTTGTTATCGCTACAATAGGTCTTGGAGTCAGTCCCAAATGATCAGAGCAACAGAGACTGTTTTTACTTACTTCCATTGCTGTCTGATTGCACATCTATAGGTATGGCTGCACTCCTACTGTGCAGACTTCAGTGGGATCTGTCAAAATATAACTGTCAGTTAGTCACAGGACACAGCCAGCTAACTAGATTATAGGTACCAATTCTCCGATGGACTCACTTCGCAGCCAAGAGGTTTAGGAGCTACATTAAATGCTATGGTTTCAATTAACATAAATACTCTAATTTAGAACCACAAACACAGCGTGACAGCAGGCCAAATGCCGTTGGGGAAATGGTGCATTCAACTATTGCAGACATGACTACTTTCAGTATAGTTGTGCATTCCTGTATTTAGGTTTTCACAGAGCAAAGCTTGTGCATAGTCACTTTTATAGACAATCATTTGAGTGTTTGCTTAACTCAGACACACAGCAGGAGGAGCTAACACTATTAGAACTGATTAAAAAAAATACACATGAAATAGGTTCTAGTTATTTATCAAGGAAGGAACATAGTGTCCTGGGGAGTAGCATACCCACCTTTTTTAGAGTCATAGCTCGCTGACCTGTAGTGCTGATCTATCTGGCTGCTGGCAGTTTTTATACAGTCATTGCTTGTGTGTTTGTGTAGAGAGTTGCTGCTTAAAACAGTTTGGTTTAGTCCCTCACTGGTAGTCATGGTGGCTGAGTTATATCTCAGGATTCCTTGGCTTTGAAGAGCATTGAAATTCCCATAGTTCGTATAGTTGCTATAAAAAGGAGAAGTGTAGTATATGTGCCTTCCCAGGATTGAAGATGAAGGGTAGGCAGAGCTGTGGGATACTGATGAAGATGTGGCAGAGGACACAGCAGACGGCTGGCAGCTCTGCCCCATATTCTGATGCTTAACGTCTGACGTGGCTATTTCAGCCAGGGACCAAAGTTTAGGTTTGCTGGCCTGTGTCTGAGAAGTGGGGGAAATCCTATTGTCCAGAGTGGCTTTGTTTGAGGATCTGGGGCTCCCCTCATGCTGATGGTTAAGTATCGGTGCCTCTATGCCGGTGAGGGGTGATGAGGTCACACTTTTGGGTTGGAGACTCCTGTTTTCTTCATCTAAGTCTTCCTCATCCTCTTCATCCTCATACTTGTCCTTGGATTCAGTGCCTGATTCACAAAGATGGTCTCCAGCTCTGGAGGGTAACTTTTCTCCATCAGACTCGGCCGAACACGAGTGGTCAGTCAGGGAGTCGACGTGCAAACTAATACCTGGAGAAAATAAATATAATGAAGGTTATCTGTGGCCTAAAACACAGTGTTGTATCTGACGATTCTCTAGATATCGGGCTCCATACAAGAATCTGACACAAAAATGACAAGGGGAAAATTAATAAATGCGGACTTTTAATGCCCATACTGCTATGGTGCTATTTCATGACGGCCATTAGGTGGTTTGATACATTGCCTTAAACTACCACCAAAATACCCAAAGGTTATAAAAATGAGGGCTATTATTAAACAAAGATATTATTATAAGATATTATTAAACAAAGGCCAGGCAATCCCAGTGTTCACATTGTCCCCACTCAATGAGCTGGTAAAGAGCAGCCGGGCCTGTTGCAGTCTACAGAGAAGAATAATAGGACTTACCTTCATCCTCTGCTGAGGTCTCATTGTTATCCTGGATCTTATCTGGATGTTCTTCCTTGCCTCGTTCTCCATCTCCGTCATCGTCATCCTCGTCCTCGCTTTTATTGCGAGGTGCCCAGGTCATCTTGTTCTCCTTTTTCAGCCTCCTCCTGGCATTGGCAAACCACGTGGAGACCTGGGTGAGGGTCATCTTGGTGATGATGGCCAGCATGATCTTCTCGCCCTTGGTGGGGTAAGGGTTTTTTCTGTGCTCGTTCAGCCAGGCCTTCAATGTGGCTGTAGCGTCTCTAGTAGCATTTTTCCTATAAGCAGGGTCATTTAATTGGTAGGGATAAGCCGGGCTGCCATAAGGATGATAGCTGATTGCCCCTGTCATACCGGTGGTATGTGCATCGTACGGAGAACCCTAGACACACAGAGACAAACAAAAAATAATAATTTTAGATCATGGTGACATACCCTAAAGCAGTCAGTACATTTCCTAGACATCTTTTCTGCTTTTACACAACATCGAAATTCTAAAAGGGTGTGAAAATATCAGCGAAGACATAAATTATTTAAATCCAATATTTTTAACTAAAATTGTATTTTGATTAACCCTATTCCCTTGCTGAATCTTAACTACATCGCAGCTGCCAGAAGCCATTATGTTAAATTTAAACACCTCAGCCGTCATCAGGAGAGCGCTTGTATCTGTGTGGATTGGAAAAACGAAAAAGATCATTAAATAAATGGCTGGGAAAATTACACAGATGTGGATTTGATTGTATTTTTAAAAGAATCCACAGGTAGCCCTTAAATACTTTAGATACATTCGAACTTCAAAAGTTTGGTTATTCCAAGCTGCTCCCTGTAACAATAGCAGCTCCCAACAATTCACTGATCTAATGCATTGTAAATCCAATTTGCAAATCAGAAGATATGCATGACTTCGGATTGTTCAAGTGGCATGCAATTAGCATTTTAATTCGCCCTTTAACGTTCAAATTGCCTTTATTTAACTGTGAATAATGTAGGCGAGTTAAAGACCCCCCCCCCCCACAAAAAAAAGCAAACTTA